TGTTGTTTGGCGGGTCCGGGCTGGGGATTCGAACCCGCCACCTTAGGTGTACGTGGCTGGCGCCTTAGCCGGTTGAGCTATAGGCGCCGAGCCAAGCCCAAGAGTTTGAGATTGCTGTGAGCTGTGATGCCATGGCACTCTACCAAGGATGACATAATGAGGCTCTGTCTCAAAAAACCCCAAACATATATATTTGTTCTTTTCCTTATTTCGCTTAGCATAATGTTTTCAAGGGAGACATGTTCCTTGTCACATGAACCAGAATTTTGTTCCTTTTAATGGCTAAATAATATTTCATTACACCATATTTTGTTTATCCATTCATCTCATGATAGGCAGTCAAATAAGGCTGCTATAAACATTCATGTACTAGTTTTTGTTTGAGCTCTTGTTTCTAATTCTTTAGGGGGTATACCTAGGAGTAATTGCTAGATTATATGGTGATTTGATGTTTAACTTTTTGAGGCACCGTCAAACCATTTCCACGGTGGGTGTACCATTTACATTCCCATAAGCAATGCATGAAGGTTAAAATTTCTCCACATTCTCAATAACTCTTGTTATTATTTCTGTTTATTTTAGAGATAGGGTCTTGCTCTGTTACCCAGGTTGTTTGAGTTCTTTGTTCTTTTTTTTTTTTTGAGACAAAGCCTTACCATGTTGCCCTTGGTAGAGTGCTATGGCAGCACAGCTCACAGCAAACTCTTGGGCTTAAGTTATTCTCTTGCCTCAGCCTCCTGAATAGCTGGGATTATAGGTTCCCACCATAATGCCCAGCTATTTTTGTTGTTGTTCTTTGGCAGGCCCCAGCTGGGTTCGAACCCAGTAGCTCTAGTGTATGTGGTGGTGCCCTAGCTGCTGGGCTACAGGCACCGAGCCATGTTTTGCAAGTATTTTCTTCCATTCTTGGATCGTCTTTTCACTTTCTTGATATTGCTCTTTGATGAGACCTGGGCGAGTAACCCAAGATCTTCTGGGGAGCTTATCCTTCCCTGACTGTGGCTGAACAAATGAAGGCCTTGTGAGAAGTCATGTGTTCTACCCTTTGTGGAGCAATCCCCATTTACCCATTTGGGTTCAGGCCACAGGGCTGGATCCCTTCATTCTTATTCCTGTCAAGTATTCAAAGACTTGGGTCAAACGAGAAAAGAGAAGAGAACAGTGAAAGAAATGCCCAGCAAAGACTTTGAGAAAGCAGATCTGGACCTGGTCTCAGGATTCAAGAAACGTGGGCTTGCTGATACGTGCCACGCCAAGTGAAAGAAGCCAGTCACAAAAAAACACTCATTATATAATTCCATTTATATGAAATGTCCAGAGTAGGTAAATCTATGGAGACAGAAAGTCGTTAGTAGTTGCCTAGGGCTGGTAGGGCATGGGAGAAAGGTTGGGAAGAAATGGGCAGAGATTGCAAATGGGTGCAGGGCTTCTTTTGTGGGTGATGAGAATGTTCTAAAATTGTGGTGCTGGTTGCACAACTCTGTGAATACACTAACGGCCGTTGGATTGTACACTTTAAGAAGGTGAATTATGTGGTAAAAAATTATCTTTCCACAAACCCATTGATTTTTTAAAAAGAAAGGAAAAGACATAAGGGCTGGACTCCCTAGGTGACCCCACCTGCTCCCCTGCATTGGCATGGTGGTGGCTTCTTCACTTGATGGAGAAGCGCAGCCGTGCCCGGACATGCTCGCAGCGGGGGTGCTTCATGGTCAGCCCATAGATGGGGGTCAGGTCCACTTTCAGACCTGGGGGCACGCTGAACTCCAGCTGCTGCAGCAGGATGGCCAAGAACAGGAAGACCTCCCACTTGGCCAGGACCTCCCCAATGCAGCGGCGCTTGCCCAGGCCAAACAGTAGCACCTTCTCACTCAGGGGCTTGTTGAGGGCACTGTCGTTGTCAGTGAGGAATCGCTCCGGCCGGAACTCAAATGGGTCCCCCCATAGCTCCCTGCAAGAGGAACAGAGAAAATGGGGTCTTGGGGCTTTGGGTGGGGAGTGGGGGTCACTTGGGAGGAAAGGCCTGAGGGAGATGTCTGAACAGACTTCTGTTGGTTAGAATAAATTGAAAGCAATGAAGTGTTTGTAGGAAAGGGACCAGACTGAACTTTGATGCTGCTTCTTCTTTTTTTTTTCTTTTGAGACAGAAGCTTACTCTGTTGTCCTGAGCTATGTCACAGCTTACAGCAACCTCAAACTTCTGGGCTCAAGTGATCCTCTTGCCTCAGCCTCCCAGAGTTTTAGGATTATAGGTATGAGCTGCTGCGCCAGGCGATTTGGAGTGATTATTAATAGTACTTATATTGACAGCACTTTCACACTCCAAAGCATCCCAATTTGGATGACAAATTACATGGTCCACCTACCTATAGACTAAAGCGGGGTTTGCAAAGAGAGGTCTCTGGGCCCTTCCCATCATCTGAGGAACCTGCTTGAGGTGCAAACCTAGGAGATCCTTGGTTCTGTCAGATGGACTAACTACCTAGTTGATTCTGATTCTTTTTTTTGAGACACAGTCTCACTTTGTCACCCTGGGTAGAGTGCCTTGCTGTCATATTCATAGCAACCTCAAACTCTTGGGCTCAGGCGATCCCCTTGCCTCAGCCTCCTGAGTACCTGGGACTATAGAAAAATGCCCAGCTAGTTTTTCTAGGTTTTTTTTTTGAGACAGAGTTTTACTATGTCTCTCTCAGTAGACTCTTGTGGCCACAGCTCACAGCCACCTCAAATTCTTGGGCTTAAGCGATTCTCTTGCCTCAGCCTCCCTAGTAGCTGGGACTACAGGCGCCTGCCACAATGCCTAGCTATTTTTTGTTGCAATTGTCGTTGTTTAGCAGGCCCGGCCGGGTTCAAACCTGCCAGCCTCGGTGTATGTGGCTGCTGCCATAAGCACTGTGCTACGGGTACCAAGCCCCAATTCTGATTCTTTTTCTTTTTTGAGACAGAGCCTCAAGCTGTTGCTCTGGGTAAAATGCTGTGGGATCACAGCTCACAGCAACCTCCAACTTCTGGGCTTAAGCCAGTCTCTTGCCTCAGCCTCCCAAGTAGCTGGGACTACAGGTGCCCACCACAATGCCTGGCTATTTTTTGGTTGTAGTCGTCATTGTTGTTTGGCAGGCCTGGGCTGGATTTGAACATGCCGGCTCTGGTGTATGTGGCTGGTGCCTTAGCCACTTGAGCTACAGGTGCCGAGCCTCCAATTCTGATTCTTAAAGGCATTAAAGTTTGAGGAACACAGACCTAAATTTTGTCACTTAGATTGAGCCCTGTAGCAATTGAGGCCCTGTTTCTTTATTGTATAACAAGTTCCTGGCTGGGACAATCAGTCTTCCTGATTGCTGGACTTGAATACATTTCTCCATGAGGGATGTGTACTTACTGGTCATGATTGACCTGCCACTGGTTTACGAAGACACAGCATTCCTTGGGAATGAAGAAGCCGTTTAGCGTCGTGTCTCTTGTTGTGCTAAGGAGGAACAGGGCTCCGTCAGCTCAGGGCTGGAACGTGGGGTGTGTCTTGTACCTACCTCCACCCCACCCCAAAAGGTAGGTACAATGCCTATGCCTGCTGTGGTCTCCATACCCTATGCCAGGAGGAACATGAGGGGCAGGGAGGGGGCTGGATGATCCTCCCCCTTCTTTAGTTCCTATCCTTCAACTTCAACAATTGCTTACTAAACCTGTCTTTGTGCCCAGCTGTGCACTTGGCCATTCTTGAGAGCCAAGAAGCAGACAGTCTCAGCTAGTTCTGGGGATTCCTAGCCTGGCTGGGGAGTCAGGCCTCTCACTGCAGGAATAACTAGACCAGTATTTGGGCAGAAGTGAATGTTCACTAACTCTCTTGACATTGTTGACATTCCAGGGCATGATCAAGGGGAATGGCTGTTAGTCCTGTAAGACATCAGGAAGGAAGCTGTGGGAGCTGGATGAGTCAAAAAGGCTTGTGGGGAGGGAAAGCTTGTGTCTGGATTGACCTTGAGCAAGGGTGGGATTCTGGTAGTCAGGAGGGTAGAAGTCATTGCAGGCAGAGTCCAGCGTAAGCAAAATTGGAGGCTGGAGAGATGCTGAGGCCAACTGGCTAGAGCAGAGGGACTTGTAGGGAGAGGGAGCAGGAGCAGAGGTGGAGGTGGTGAGCTCAGCAGTAGAACCTTCTCCTGGGAGCTGGTGGTTTGATTATGTTTGGACCAGACTGGATGGGACAGACTAGAGGCTGGGGTCTGTGAGGAGCCTGGCATTGTGATCAGGAAGGCAATGCCAAGGTCTGAGCCAGGGCCAAGGCTGAGAAGCTGGGAGGAGAAAACATGGCAAGGACTTTGGAGGCAGGTGGGCAGAATAGGCAGGTCTCACCTGTGGGGGATTGTGAAGGGGACGAAGGAGGAATGTCGGAAGGTCTCCAGGATGAAGGCCTCCATATACGGCAGCTGGGGTCTGTCAGACAGCCGAGGCTGCCGTGCCCTGCCAATCACTGTATCTGCAGAACACAGAGAACAGACAGCACAGGGGGCTGCCCTGACTGCTCCATGGCATCTCTGTTCCCTATTAAAGCATATGTCACTCTATGTGAGACTGTATTACACTAACCCCACTAATCCTCCACGTTTTCTGGGCAAGGGTGGGCACACTGTATGCTCAGGGCTGGCATGTAATAGGCGCATAACGGGTATTTGCAGACTGAATAAACAATCTGGGTCACAAGGCTTCTCCTGCCATAGGGTTGGGGGCCGCCACATACCCAACTCCTTCTGGATCTTTTTCTGTATTTCAGGCTTGGTCACAAGGTACATAAGGCTCCAAGAGATGGCTGTTGTGACTGTGTCAAACCCTGGACAACGTAGGGTGAGAAAGGAAGGAAGACAGGAACAAGGAAACGGTCATTTCCCAAGCATCCAGCATGTATGTACCAAGCATTGTCTTTCTCTGGTCCTGGCCTGTGAGTTTCCTGACGGCAGAGGTTGGCTTTCTTCAGCACAGGCTTGAGACATTAGTTTCATAAATAAGTGTTGGAATTAAGAGGGCACTTTATTGTTCGAATATGGAAACTGAGGAGGGAAAGAGAGGGAAGGAGACAGACTTGGTTAAGTTTACACTGGGAGGTGGTGGCACAGCCTGGGTTCAAACCCTGACCCTAGGCTAGGTGTCTTGTGCTGTCTGGTGTGTAGTTGGCAGGTTATTTGATGGATTTGGGCTAAGCAAGGCTGTGGGTAGACAACAAGCCCTGATGGATGGAGGGGCAGAGATCTGGGTCCTACCTGCTCCAAAGAGGTCATTGACAAGGTTGACAATCTTCTCCCGGGCAATGAGGTGACCACTGGTTCCAGATCCCTTCTCACTGTGCTTGAATAGGGCACCTGTGATGTCCTGGACACTGTTCTGAGAGGGTAAAAGTTCAGGGACACCCTGGCACCTCCGAGGCTGGGTAACACTCCCCCACTCCCCCCACCCCCCACAGTGGGCTGGGGCTCCCTGGGTAGGGCATAAAGCGTCATTTCATGCCCCATTGACTCCTTTTCTCAGTAGCCCCAGGGGATTAATTTCAAAGAAGGAAGAGGTTAGTGTGAACACAGGGAAGCAAAGTGACATTGGAGCTGGGGATTAGCCTCTGTTGGGGTTCAGATTTCTGTAGAACAAAGGCCTTCTCCCTCATAAGACCCCCACAGCGCAGGGCTCTGCCAGGCCCCATTCACAGACTTTTTCTTCTGGGGGCTTTGAGAAGCCCTGAGAGGAAGGATGTAAGGGTGAGGAAACTGAGGCCCAAAGAGGGGAAGCGAGTGTCTCTAGGTCACACAGCTGGTCTGAGCTGTCCAGAGCCTCCGTAGGGCTGGGCAGCACATCAGCTTTGTAAACACATCCGAGCTGGGTGAGAGGGGCTACACTCAGGCCTTGCAGGGTGGCTCTCATCCAGTACACCCAGGCTCACCTTGTCAAAGTCCTGATAGTGCTCCTGGACTATTTTCTGCAGGAAGCGCACGAACCTCTGATTGAAGTCCTTGAACCTTTGCAGGGTGGGACTGGGTAAGTAGCGAAGGAAGGGGAAAAAATCCACGGGGTTTGCAGAGGAGGCAGTTTCCACAAACTCATGGCTGTTCCTCACGAGGCTGAGCATCTCTTCACTGTCCTGGGTGAAGTGTTGCCCGAAGCACATGGCACCAATGACATTGGCCACTGACCCCACCACCTGGTTGTAGGGGTCAAAGCGCCCAGCCTCTGCCATCAGCTCCTGGAACTTGCTGATTAGGGCTTCAGCTTCCTTGCTCACATGCTCCTCCAGGTAGCAGGAGGACGAGGAAGCCGGGTTGGATGCGATGGAGAAGGTGTTGAGGGCATTCTGGGCCAGGCGCCGACGGGCAGCCCACACTGGTCCGGAGTCTGGATTGAAGGTCATGCTCTGGCCATCGGTGATAAGGGTGAAGCTGTAGAAGTCCGGCCGGCCCTTAAAATCATCTCCCTGCCGCACCAGGGCCTGCCGGACGGTGTCCAGGCCACTCAGCACCAGCACGGGCGTGGAGCCAATGCGGATCTGTAGCACGTCCCCGTACTGCTGGCTCATCTTAGACAGTGCCAGGTGTGGGTTCTTCCCCAGGGTCAGCACGTGCCCGATCAGGGGCCAGCCCCACGGCCCTGGTGGGCTCTTCAGGCCTTTGGGGACCTGAGACTTTGAGGCACTGACCACCCAAAACACCAGGCAGAAGATGGCAGAGGCCAGGAGAAGCTCTGTAGCTGAGAAGGGAACATACTGGGACAATGCCATCTGAGCTAATTACAGGGGAAAAGGAAGGAGAAGCTAGGCTGAGTGTTGAGATGTAGACATTCATTCATTTATTTACTCAGTCATTCAATAAACTCTGAGACATGTTTTTTGTTTGGCTCCCCGCTGTATACCAGAATGACTAAGATACATCTTCCACTTGTCCTGTGCCCTAGGAGCTCACCCTTAGCATAGTATATGCGGGCTGGAAAGGAGTCTCAAGATTCCCACCTTGATCATCTGAACTCCCAGCCCTGCCTTTCTCTACCCATTATCTCAGTTTCCAATTCTGAGACAGCAGCGGATGCAAGTGACCATAGGGAAACAGAGAAGGCGAGGATAGCACTCCTATAAGTCCCTGGCAGTGTGTATGCTGGGCATTGTGCCAAAGGGTCCCTACTGGTGCTGGTTTCCTGCTGATATCTCCTACACACTCAGGGAACAGGAAATTCCCCTACCCAGTGATACTGAGGAGGCCAAGGACCCAGGGCTGATGCAAATGGCCTGTGATTCTCCCTCTCCAGGGCACTCTTTATCAATACAAAGGAAGGTATCTTCTCCAAGGATGAGTCTCTATCCTCGCACAGTCTTTTATTTATTTATTTATTTTATAGGTTGGGTCTTGCTCTGTCACCCAGGTTGGAGTACAGTGGCATGATCATAGCTCACTGTAACCTCAGACCCCTGGGTTCAAGAAATCCTCTTGGCTCAACTCCCTGAGTACCTGGGACTATTGGCTAACTTTTTTTTTTTTTTTTTGAGACAGAGCTTCAAGGTGTCACCCTAGGTAGAGTGCCCTGGCATCACAGCTCACAGCAACCTCCAACTCCTGGGTTTAACGGATTCTCCTGCCTCTGCTTCCCAAGTAGCTGGGACTACTGGCGCCTGCCACCATACCTGGCTATTTTTTGGTTGCAGTTGTCATTGTTGTTTGGCAGGCCTGGGCTTGATTCGAACCGCCCAGCTTAGGTGTATGTGGCTGGTGCCTTAGTTGCTTGAGCCACAGGCGTTGAGACTATTGGTTAACTTTTAAAACAATATTTTGCAAAGGTTAGGCAAGGTAGCTCACGCTGTAATCCTAGCAGTCTGGGAGGCCGAGGTGGGTAGATTGCCTGAGCTCAGGAGTTTGAGACCAGCCTCAGCAAGAGGAAGACCCTGTCTCTAAAAATAGCTGGGTGCTGTGGCAGGTGCCTGTAGTCCCAGCTACTTGAGAGGCTGAGGCAAGAGAATTGCTTAAGCCCAAGAGTTTAAGATTGCTGTGAGCTATGATGCCATAGCATTCTGCTAAGGGAGACAAAGTGAGACTCTGTCTCAAAAAATAAAATAAAATAAAATAAAATAAAATGAGATTGAGATAGCCTGGGCAACATAGCAAGAGTCTGAAGGTGTTGTGAGCTATGATTGCAGCATTATAATCTGGCTTTGGGTGACAGAGTGAGAACCTGTCTCAAAAAATAAGTAATACTTAAATAAATAAATAAAATGGAGAAACTGGCTGATGCCCTGGCTCACAGCTGTAATCCTAGTACTTTGGGAGCCTGAGGCAGTTGGATTGCTTGAGCATGAGATCCTATCTCTACCAAAAAGAGAAAAATTAGCTGGGCATGGTGGTGCGGCGCACTCTTAGTCCTAGCTACTTGAGAGACTGAAGAAGGAGGATGGATTGAGCCCAGGAGTTTGAGGTTGCAGTGAGCTATGTTGATACCATGGCATTCTAGCCTGGGGCAGCAGAGTGACAGTCTGTCTCAAAACCAAAAAACAAAAACAAAATCAAAGAGAAACTGAGGCCCAGAGCTGAGTAGCAAGGACTAGAATTCAGGCCTCCTACACTTAGCCTGAGGTACCCCCCCACCCCCCATCCTTCTACTCTACTTCTTTCTAGGATGTTGTTGGGGAGGGTCCCAGAAACTGAAAAATGGGCCCAAGAAAGGTACCTGTAGAGGCAGGTGCTTGAAATCAGCAGGGTTGCAGGGTCTAGTCTGGAGCTTCTGGCTCTAGGCAAGGGAACTATTTATAAACACCACCCCTATTGACTTGGGCTGGCTATGTTAGTCATCTGATATCAAAGTTGGATCACTGAACAAAGTCGGAAGGATCAATTCTCTGCCTTAGATCATAATCCCTCAGCTCCACCTACTACCTACGGTTCAGCGGTAGCTCTCTGGGGATAGTCTAAAAGGGTTGCTGGGTCCCTGGGGATGAATATCCAGCACTTTTCATGGTTGGGAGCCTGTTTTTCTCATGGACAGGGCAGGGCAGGGTACAGAGAGTGAAAGTTAGGTCTCTGGACTGGTCTAACTTTTCCCACAGTGCCCATGAGGAAGAGCCCTGCCTGGGCACTCTAGGCCAACCAGGTTCACTGTTCCTCTGCAGAAGGATTCTCGGTAGTGCCCTCCTCCCAACAACCTGCAAAACCAAACAGGAAATGGGCATGTTCTAGCTGCCTCTGATTTTCAACCCAAGTTGATCTGAAAAGAAGAGATGATGAGGGCTTTGCACTCTAAAGAGAGGCCCCTTACCTTCCTCCCACCTGTGTTACGATACGGTAGGAAATTAAAAAGAGAATAAAGAAAATCCATGTGGTGGGCTGCTTCTCATGGCAACTGGCTTGGACTCATCATGTAATCAATGTCATTAAAAAAAAAAAAAAAAGACAAGGGCCTATTCCATAGCAAAGAGACCTAGAGACATAACAACCAAATGCCATGTGTGAACCTTGAATGAAAACAGCATTTAACCAAAAATGAAGTCTATAAACCGGGCGTGGTAGCTCCTGCCTGTAATCCTAGCACTTTGGGAAGCTGAGGCAGATAGATTGCTTTAACTTAGCAGTTTGAGATCAGCCTGAGCAAGAGTGAGACCTGTCTCTACTAAAAATAGAAAAACCAGCAGGGCATTGTGGCAGAGTCCTGTAGTCCCAGCTACTCAGGAGGCTGAGGCCAGAGGATCTCTTGAACCCAGGAGTTTGAGGTTGCTGTGAGCTATATGCCACAGCACTCTACTCAGGGTGACAGAGTGAGGTTTTTGTCTTAAAACAAAAACAAAAACAAAAATGAAGGCTACAAAAGATGCTTTTGAGACAATTTGGGACATGTGGACATGGACTGGAGATTACGCAATGTTCTGGAATAAATGTTACTTTTATACTATGTTTTATTTATACTATAGTATCATTATTTTTTTTTATTTTTATTTTTTTTTTTTTTGAGACAAAGCCTCAAGCTGTCCCCCGGGCAGAGTGCCGTGGCATTACAGCTCACAGCAACCTCCAACTCCTGGGCTCAAGCGAGTCTCCTGCCTCCGCCTCCCAAATAGCTGGGACCACAG